AGGGGATAGGAATTGGATCGGGGTCGAACTGAGCACCATAGGGGCTCAAATGGACTGGTATCAAAAGAATAGGTCTAGAAAGAAATTTTATAGAGAAAATCCTCTATATGTATAAGTGCACAATTGGGAGCAATTTAAGCATTTAGCTTTGCCATTTTGAAAATGTCATCTAAAAGCAGCATTTACTTTTAGCATTTTCAAAATTAGCCAGTAACTATAGGAAAATATTACATATTTCTTGGTTCACTCCAAATGTTAGAAAATGAATTGAAGTTTTAGATGTATACATTATTTTAAACTCAGAGTAGGGCAACGATTTTTTTGAGAATTTAATGTTTATTATCAATTAATGATTACACATAGCGGGGAGGTATATGACGAGTAAATATCTAGCGAGTTAAGAATTACGTTCCCATCATACTATTAACCATAACCGTATGATTTCTATATTCATTCTCGTTTAGTACCTATAAAAATAAGATTCACATCCATTACTTCGAGTGTGGCGGGTGCGGGGCAATTTCGTCCTTTACCCGCCACATTGTCAGGCCTATATCAATGTTAATGAGAGTAATAATGGCATAATTGATTTTCAAACATAGGAAAACAAAATAGACTTCATAGGAATTCGAGGATGAACAGACGTACCTTTCTTTCACGAACTTTTGTGCAGGATATTTCGAGCTTCTTCTCGGTCTCGTCCAGCTCCTCGTAATGTAAGGATTTCAGGTTGTCTCCATTGTATTGCTCAAGGATCAATTGGAGACCTACTATTTGCTCCCTCATTTCTCTGATCTCCTTTGGCACTTCAACCTGTAATCTCAAAATATAAGACACAACTCAATTTAAGATGGTTGACTTGAATCATTTTAAACTCAAATTATTTTAAAAATGCTATTGAGATAATGGAATTTATATATTTTCGAAATACGAATTATCCAAAATTTTACAAAACAAGGGGAGACATGAATATATTATTTGATCAAATTATCTATGAATATATACAAAATGCAAGACGGAATACCGAACCCGGGCTAATTTCATCGCAATTGAGCTAAATTCGTCCAATTTCAAATCACTGAGCAATGGAATTCAATCGGAGAAATCTTCACAACCGAAAATACTTTTTTGAACTTGAAATTCGAGTCAAGAAATTGCTAGCTACTATGCAAGAGTACCTTGTATTTGGAGTCCTATAAGAGTACTGGTCTATGTGCAGCATGGCGACGGCGAAGATCGGAGAAAAGGGAAGATGGTGGCAGACCGGTGGTGAACACTAAAGGGGAAGGGTTGTCGACTTGTTGAATGTTTTTTTTTGAAAGGCTAAGAGATTAGAAATTTAGAATACGGTCAATCGGGTCATACAGATAAGGATAAGGAATTAAGGGCTCGGGTATTATTAGACTTCCGGTCGGGAGCTTATTACCCCTTACAAAAATAATTCTATTAGATTAATTATATTAACTATTTTCAAAATATTATTTTATTTAATTAGTATATAATATATATTTTATTTAATTATTAGTTAAACATTAAAAATAATTAATAAAAAAAAAGTAAAAATTGAACAAATACTCTAGTACGGAGTATAATTTACTACGGAGTACATAGTAGGCCTGGACACGGTACCGGTGCGGTACCGTCACCGGCGCCGGTACCGCCGGTACCGAGTACCGTCACCGTCACCGGAGACGAGCAACCGGTGCCTGGAACCGGTACCGGTACCGCCCCAACCGGTACCGTGTCCGGTTCCCAATTTTCGTCACCGGCACCGCCGGTACCGGTACCGGTTCCGGTGCCGGTTTAATTTTTTTTTTCTTTTTTTTTCTTTTTTTTTGCTCCTGCCATCAACGGACA